TGCCCAAAGCTGTGCTTAAAGTCCTAGTCCAATGTGTCCGGCTTTATGTCAAGATTCATTGCCCAAAGCTGTGCTTAAAGTCCTAGTCCAATGTGTCCGGCTTTATATCAGGATTCATTGCCCAAAGCTGTGTTTAAAGCCCTAGTCCAATGTGTCCGGCTTTGAATCAGGATTCATTGCCCGAAGGTCTCTTTAACGTCCTTGTCAAATGTGTCTGGCTCATTGTCCAAAGCTTTTTTGAACTTCCTTGCCAAAGTTGTGTGGCTTTATATCAGGATTCATTGAACAAAGCTGTGCTTAGAGTCCTAGTCCAATGTGTCCGGCTTTATGTCAAGATCCATTGCCCAAAGCTGTGCTTAAAGCCCTAGTCCAATGTGTCCGGCTTTATATCGGGATTCATTGCCCGAAGGTTTCTTAAACGTCCTTGTCAAATGTGTCCGGTTTTCGGGATTCATTGCCCCAAAGGTTTAGGTAATGTCCTTGTCAAATGTGTGTGGCTTTATACCAGGATCCATTGCCCAAAGTTCAGTTGTGTCATATCGTACATTGTGCGTCTATTTATCAGAAACGATTGTCGTTGATTTGGGGTAATGTACTATCGTATTCATCCACAGGTCTCCAGGCAGCGGGCAGGACATTATTAACAAAGCATCACCGCTCTAATACATGATTACGAAGATTCTTCGAATCGATGGCTCATTTCATGAAAGTGAACGAAACAAGATAAAGATCTAAACGAATCTGAAGTTGGTCGCCATGAAAATCTCAATCCAGGGCTTTAATATGCTCCTCAACTGAGAAAGAACTCCTGTGGAATAATCGGATATGCCATGGTTTCACACTCCGGGCGATTTTGCTAAATGTTTTTACAAATTATATTATTTTATTTTTAGTTTTAATTCTTCAAGGATAATGGACATCACATGCGCTGTCTTTATACAATTGATTGATGTTGGGCTAAATACGTATCTTGGAACATTTACACAAAATGAATTTAAAATTTGCATGGTGTTTTTATTTAAGAATGGGTGTATTCGGTGCTGTTGAACAGTGGGACTGGTCACGCCATTAAGACCAGGTCTTTCCCTGCCAGGTAAAATGTCCATGTCTAGCCTGGCACAGGAAGGTTGATGTTGTAGCTCAATATAGTCATTGATTATATTTGTAGTTTATAGTGGTTGATAGTATGACTGTGTCTTGCGTCATCGAGTTACTTACGTATTGCGCTACCCGTGCACGGTACTAACTTACAGATGAAGGGTATATTTGACCACCCAATACACACTTTGTTCTGAATCAAACAGAAGCAGTCCGATGGGTGTTCATTTGAATATATTCGACCACCCAATTCACATTTTGTATTAAGTTCTGAATCAAACAGAAGCTGTCTGATGGGTGTCAGTTTGACAAACACAATGCGATGAGAAACAGATTCGATACAGATTTGACACAGATTGCGCACATATTGCATCTAGAATAGACACAGATTAAACGCAAGTTTCCCATGGATTGCACACAGACTGGACACAGATTTAACATAGATCGAACTCAGATTTGAGCACTGATCGGACAAACATATTGAAATAGTTTGGAAACGAATATTGGACACATATCTTTGAAAGATATTGAATAGATCGGATCTAAGTCTAGCCAATAGATCGAAACATGCTTGACACATATGTACAAAGACAGTCGGACAAACATGAACATTATGGAATCATCTTTGACAGTTATGGGCATAGACATTGACATTGGGTGAATTAGGGACAACGGACACTGACTGGACACAGATCGGACAAGGACAATATGGACACAAATTGGTCACCTATTAGCCACACACTGGATGAAAATTGGAAACATGAGAAACAAATTTACCTGGGACTGGGCATGGATGTCAAGTGGACACAGAAAGGAGGCGGTTTAGAAACACAAGTTGTGAGTATTGGTATGAGTTGTTTGGTGAAACCCACATCAGTTGGGTTTCATGAAACCCTCACTTCAGCTTAACAATCGGACGTCAAAACATGTCTGGAGGTACATGTCTCAAGGTCATGAGTTGTCCAATGGAAAATGATGCACAAGATACGCATCTCCACGTGTAGATACTAGACAATGTGATGGGATAATTTGATGTCCCCAACTTACACACATGTTACTTACACTTAATGCAATGGGGTTATTCATTATCGCTCGCTTATAGCATGAGGCAGGTGGCCCGTTAGGTTTCATCGAACCGTGTCATGTTTGAAAGTAAAACAAATGTTTCACATCTGTGTTTGGTGGTTTACACACGTGTTCATATTGATTTGCTTTATCGACGATTGTTGAGAGGGATTTCAAATTGGGAACATTAAACCATCTGCTGTGAAAATTATATTACTGACCTCATTAATATCTATTTACAATCCAATATGTATCGTAATGTGCAAACCGTGATACACATGTTGTTGGAATGTTGCACACGCCGAATCCAATTAGTATCTTACGTTGTTGTTTTTTAAAGATTGAAGTGGACATAAACATATTCATGTTCCCGTGGATTTGTTATCGTGTCTAAGCAACCAGTGAAGTCGATTTGAAATATTTTTTTTTCTAATAGCCCTTTAACCGAAATCAATAATATTCACGAATAAGGAGGTGAGGCTACGTGACGCTCACAAGCTTATAATAAAATTAGTAACTATTAGTGAGCTTCATATAAGATATAAAATATAACAACATTATCACCAGGTTCATAACAGATCAGCAGATTTCATGAGAAAATGGATTGTGTATCATTCACTTTTTGAAAAACCTTTTGCAAATTTTAATCATTGATGACAACAGCATAAATTGCTCAGAGGAGATTATCAGTAATTGCTTGACTTACCGTTGTTTTCATGTGGGCAGTTGTATGATTGTGTGTGAATGAGTTGTATGAATGAGTAAGTGGATGACAGTGTGAGTGTGTGTGAGAGAGTGAGTTTGTGCGTGCGTGTGCGTGCGCTCGCGCGCGCGTCTGTATATGTGAGAGAAACCTATCTGCACATTTAAACATACGTGGCAATGGGCCCTTCACTTCCCTGGGTGAGGGTCCATTCTTTGTAACATGGTTTCAGCAATAAAATATCAATTAAAAATATTTATTATTATTTCCATGCCATATCTGTAACCTTTGACGAGTGAAATCAATCAATCGAATTTATTATTTTGCGTAGAGCATCTTTTCGAGGGATTCACGTATAAATGAACAAAAGTTGATTTTGGACCTTTGCACCTAATATCCGTTCTGAAAGTGGCGAAGCATATGTTCCCCAGTCATCCAAGGCACAGCTTTGTGCTGTGCACTCTAGAAACATGGTCGCGAGTTCGAGCCCCGGTTTGTATCGATTATGTTCCTGTATTTGTAAGCACCCGTGCTCACGCGATACTTGCATCACTTCGGCCGTTCCCCCCACTCCATGTTGACACACCGTTACATAACTGACATACTGTTCAAAACGGTGCTTAATCCATCTCACTGAAACTTTGGTTATATGAACTGGCATTACTTCTCTAAAATCCGGTTATTGATCAATATAGTTTTATCAATCATCAATATGAATCGTTTAAGAATAATTGTGAATTCAGTTAGACATTTTGTTCTCATATGCTTATTTATATAAGTCTTTCGTGGGCGGTGTAGTAGCTGAGAGGTTCAAGCGTTTGCTCGTCACGCTAAAGACCCGGGTTTCTGGTGTCCCCCGCCGTGATATTGCTTGAATGTTGCTAAAAGCGATGTAAAACTAAACTCACTCAGTCACGGAAGCGTTTTGACGACCGGTTATAAAACTGAAACGACCGCTATATATGTGTACTAGTATTTTTAAATTACAATTTAAGACAACTACGTGTATCTGATGAGAACATGCAGTAAACTCGTACTTCCAGTAGGATGACGATCGGAATGTTTTGAAACTTAAATGTCTGATACCTATCCTCTCAAAAACTTCATGGAGCACGACAAAAAGGCGTTTTGTTCTGGTAGCTTCATTTCTAAAGGCCTTTGTCGCTCTTCAAATGAAAACAAAAAGGTTTCCGAGAACAGTATTATCGACGAGAGCGCCTCTCGTATTGTTTTGAACGTCGCGTATTTTTATCCTGAGCGCGTTGGAGAGTCTTGCTTCTCTACAATGAAATGTCAAGCAGTAGCCATTGGCGTTAACCTGGTAGCGTTAAAGATATAAGTTCATCGCTGCCATGTTTTACACACTCGATAGCAGACAATGCACTTGGGGAATATAACCTTTAGCTTTTTTATACGGTTATATCGACTTTTTAACTCAGAAACGGAAAGAATTATATCAAGATGAACAGCCCCGGAGACAAGATAACACCTAGACTTACACTGATTGATGCGTTCAAACTTGGGAGAAGATTCCCAAATCACGAAAACAAACATTGAAATGTCAAAACATATTTGAAGAAAGTTTAAATTTGTTGCTGTGGGTAAAATGTATGTCACCTGAAGAAAATCTGCTTTGAAAAGGATTCTTAAATTGACAAAATCACAATGAATTAAATTCAGTGATTTAAAATCGTTTATAAACGAATATTTACTTTGACTGAAGGGTTATTTAACGGCGTCAAAAATATAGTTAGCGACAGAAGCAATTGGAAATCAAAGACCGTGAGCTAAAACGATAGGATGACACCAGATGTTGGTGAACTGTATGTTTGACTCATTCTGTTGCATACATGTCTACGATGAACAAGAGAAGGAGGAATATGAAGATAAGGAAGAGCTAAAAGGATTAGAGAGAGATGAAAAGAGGAATGGAGGAGAGAGAGGGAAATGGAGATGGATTGTGAGATTGGTATGGAATGAAGGAGGGTGAAAGGCTTGGAAACAGAAAGGATGAAAAGAAGAAATGGATGAGGAATAGAGAGGGATTATGCGAAGGGGAGAAGTAAGAAAGGAATTGGAGAGCAATGGAATGTAGAGGAAGGAAGATGGGGATAGGACAGGAGGGGATGATGGAATGTTGGAGGAGGAGGAGAAGAAGAAGGCCAGAATAGGATCGAAGAGGAGGAGGATTGATAGAAGTGGAGAGGAGAGTTCAGGACAGAATAGGATGAAGGTGAAGATCGATGTGATGACGTTATTTGCGATTATAACATAACACATCGCGGCATGTATTGCATCAGATTACCTTTAAGGGACAAGTTCAGAACTAAGTGCCATTTCTGACATGGATGCCGCAGTACTTACACTGTGGCCCACGGGGAAACCAGGGTCGATTGTGGCTGTTGACATTCTTGTCTATACTCGATGGGCAGATAAGGGTTAGAATATTGTGACATCATGGCGTGGATCGATGTTCATGCTTTCACTCACTGATTTGTGGTGGCGGCACAGAGGTGTGGTGGGATAGCATCTGGTTTGATGGCAGTCACTCACCTCCCCCCGCCCCGACTCCCAACTCGTTCACCCTCTAACTCACTCACATATATATGCATCCACCCTCTAACCCAATACACCCACTCGCTCACTCACCCAGGCCAACACACACACTAACTCACCCACTGGTCCACGCTCTAACTCACTCACACATCCAATCCATTCACCTACCCTCTAACCCAATACACTCACTCACTCACCCCGACCAATCCACTCACTCACTGGTCCACGCTCTAACTCACTCACACATCCATTCACCCACCCTCTAACCCAATACACTCACTCACGCACTCGTTCACTCAAATTAGAACGTTTCTCACGATCTAATATGCTTTCTGTGATATAAATGAAAACTATTCTAGGCACTCACAAACGCAATACAATATGCGTGTTTCTTTTTACACAACCTACTCATTCTCGTACCAATCCTCTACTAGTAAAACAGATAAAACCCTTCCTAAGATATCAACATGACACGACTTTCTAAATCAGCGTGCAATATATAGTTAATAGCCTGCATTCATGGCTAGTAATTGCAGAACTCGTCGCAACACAAGATTCCAACGCAGTTAAATCCTCATCACGTTGCTCTGTTTATGTATTGAACGGACACCCCCGTGTAATACACCTGATCTACAGTATTCTATGTTTAGATGATTTGTATATTAAACTGCTGTGCACTCTGTATGTATTAAGTGTATAATAACTAGGACTGTACGGTATTACCGGTATATCGGTATATCGCTATACGCTTTTCAAACGATACGTATTTCAATCTGATTTCTGACAACCTGTTAATTGGGTAAAGTTTTTGTGATTATATTTATGATTTAAATTATGATCTACACAGACTTTCATTCACAACAAATGTTTTCTTCGTTATTCAATGACAAAACGGCATACTGTAATACTATAAATTGTATAAAAAAGAAAAGAAAATCCCTGACTATGCAACCTAAATTTGAGATTGCTGATATCAGAACCATAACATATATGTTTAGGTACTTAGAATGTAGAAAATAGGATCGACATGTACAATTAGTGTCACTTACCGTCAAGCACTTAAGCTCCCAATATATCGCAATACGTGTCGCAATATGATTCCCTGAATCGCAATAGATTGCAATACAGTTTATTTGCCCATACACAGCCCTAATAATAACGAGACAGTTCGACGTCGGCAATATTCAGCCAGTGCTGTATCAATCCGTTTCACTTAACCAACGGACCCAACATCTCAGATGTGTTTTTGTTCAAAGCGCTTCCGGGGTAAGCTGCTGAGGGTAAGGAAATGTATGCTACAAACACTATATATATTTGTATTACAAAGAACAGCAGTTGACACTGAGATAACGACTCGGTATTGGAAGCTGTCAAGACTACATTGTGATGTGTCCGGGTTGGGCCTTCATTAAATCCATGGAGGCATTGTAGTAGGTGTGAGTGAATAAGTTAAAAACGCCTCGGGTATATCATCTCGTGTGGGAATAATGAGGGAGGAAGGCCCGAAGCTATGCAGGTTATTGATTATAACGCGGTGGAGGACATGTAGACAATATGTATGAACAGAGTCAAGGACGGTAGGGAAGGGGGCGCGAGGAGAAGAGATGGAGGGGGGCAGGGAAGAGGTGCAGATGAGTGTGGTGAATATAAGGAAGGGAAAAGGAAAGAAGGGAAGATTAGGATGGTGAGGAGGATGAGGATGATGGTGAAGAGGAAGAAGGGAAGATTAGGATGGTGAGGAGAAGGAGGGGGAAGAAGGGAAGATTAGGATGGTGAGGAGAAGGAGGGTGAAGGGGAAGAAGGGGAAATTAGGATGAGGGTGAAGGGGAAGAAGGGGAGAATAGGATGATGGTGAAGAGGAAGAAGGGAAGATTAGGATGGTGGTGAAGAGGAAGAAGGGAAGATTAGGATGGTGAAGAGAAGGAGGGTGAAGGGGAAGAAGGGGAAATTAGGATGAGGGTGAAGGGGAAGAAGGGAAGATTTGAATGACGGTGAATGGGAAGAAGGGGAGATTAGGATGATGAGGAGAAGGAGGGTGAAGGGAAGAAGGGAAGAAGCCTAGGATAGTGAGAAAAAGGGAGAAGGGGATTAGGTGAAGATTATAGGGGCAGGAATGGTGGTGAAAGGCAAGAGGTAGAGAGGAAAGGATGGCAGGGGAAAGGGTGAGGATGGACGAGGGAAAGGAGGGGGGGTGAGGGTGTAACGGAAAGAGGTGGAAAGGACAAGAAAGGGAGAGGATAAAGAAGAAGTGGAGAGAGGGAGAGGCAAGGAGAAGGTGTAAGGAAGACACCTCTGAAAGGATTGGTGACGACTATAGGGAGGTGACTGGAGGAAGAACGTTAGACGAGGAAGAGGTGAAAAGGATAAGAGGAATTCAAGATAAGAGGAAGGAAGAATCGAAGAAGACACAAAGGGAAGGAACATATAAGAGAAGAGAAGTAGAAGTAGAAAAGTGGAGGAAGAGGGACGGGGAGTGGTGAGGTGGAGAAGAAGAGAGAAGGCAAATGATAGGGAGAGAAGTGAAATGAAGGAAATACGTGTCAGTGAAAGAGAGAATGATTGGGGTAATGGATTGAGAAGAAAGGTGGTGATTAGGGTGACGATGTGAACTGAACTAGACATTGAGCAACGTCGTGGGATGAGCCATATAATGGTAAAGGTTTCATCAAGATCATGGCATGAATCCGTGACAGAGATTGATGTAAGGGATCAACATCGTGCAGTCAGAAGCCATACTAATCCCAGAAGATTTGTCGCCTTACACCTGTTTTTTAATATGTTGGGAAAAGCATTTAGGGGAGGATCCAGTTTTTAAGTTTTTAAGTGAATACTGCTGATAAAGATTAAGCTGATTCGACGAGAAAAGTAGACCCTGAAGGTATCTTGATACAGACGGGGACAGACCCGTCTTTAACGTTTGATCTGAAGGAATACGTTTTCTCATCGCCGCTGTTCGACATACATGTCAACGTCAATAGTGTTAATGCTATTCACATTAGATATACCTGCAAATTACATCCGACTTACAAACCTAGACCTGGACACCTAGTTTTTCATGAACATTACGTGTTTTCATTTTAGTTTTCGTTAAAGTTCTAACTATATCGGATCTGGATCAGGCAAACTAGTGACAGTTCTTTTTTGCTTTCTTAAAGGCAGCCATCGAGCGTTCATTCAAAACGCTGCATTATCATTTAGCGATATTGGAGCGGTGGGGTAACCTAGTGGTTGAAGCGTCCACTCGTCACACCGTAGACCCGGATTCGATTACCTACAAGGATACAATGTGTGAAGCCCATTTCTGGTGTCCCCCGCCGTGATATTGCTGGAATATTGCTAAAAGCGGCGTAAAACCATATTCAGTCACTCCTTAAGCGACGTTCGTAGCATCGATCTTAATCTAGAACAGTTGGGTTTCTGAACAGTCTGGAATTGTCTGACAATGAATGCGATTGTGACGCATTTAGGTTCCCTCTCCCGTTAGATCTTTCAATCCCTTGGTGAGTCTTGATGGCACCAAAGTAACTATACATTTGTACAAAACATCTTTCTAGAAATCAATATTAAATGTACATTCTGAAATTGTTTCTCAATAAATTCTCTGAATAAGGCATCTGCAGCTATCTGTAGTTGTCAGTTTCTTAGTTGAGCAATCACTAAACAGTAACCTAAACGAAAAGAACACGATATACTTTGTATTAAGCACCTTCCCCGGGAATCAAATTGGTTAAACATAATTGAAGTTCCCGACAATGACCGAGGGCGTCCGTGTGCTTCTTGCAAAGAAACGGGAGAAGAAATGACAGTCAGAAAGAAAGAACAACTAACAATAATACAATAAGAGAGAGTGAGTTTAGTTTTACGACGCTTGTAACAATATTCCAGCGGGGGACACCAAAAATGGGCTTCACACATTTTACCCATGTGGGGAATCGAACCCGGGTCTTCGGCGTGTCATGCGAACGCTTTAACCACTAGGCTACCCAACCGCCCACAATACAATTAGAACCCCAGAGATTATATATCGTTATCCTTTAACTAGACAGAGAAACAGATGACATATTAATAAATCCCGCTTGTACACGAGTAATTAAAGTCCCAGAATACCCACGCAACCAGACTCTCAACTCAGCGCCTAGGCAATATAGAATATCATTAACCACCTCCTGCACAGCACCGAGACACTTGAACCCTGCAGCGTCCAGCAAAACACGTGACACACATGTAGTTATAATATACTTCCTTTGCGATATTAGTAACATCAGTAGACTGATACCCAGTCTTAGATCGGATGAACGCAGTCTGTAGCACTGTTGCCTTGGGGAGTCCTTCTTGTAATCGCCATTATTCTCTCTGTGTCGGTAACAAGCATGATTCTTTAACGCTGGAGTCAATTTGAAGTTCACGCAGGGCAAGCTTGGCTCGAATCCGTCGTTTCACTCCCCCGCTCAACGATTAAATGAGCAGGAATAGCGACATATCTAAAGCTTAGGGCAGAGGGATTATCTGTGTTTATGCCCTGGTGGACATCCAGTTTACATTTAGTGTGGGCATGTAGACGGATGTTCCATTTGATCTATAAAGTACTGTGACGTATCTATTCTGTTATTGTGACATTAATAAACGGGTAATGTTATAACACAGAAAGTATTTAAATGTGATCTGCTTGATTCCATCGACGAACTCAATGGTCATTATGTAGGAACACTTTCGTTCTTGGGAATGATATACGGTGCAATGCAATTGTGCCGAACTTTTGGGACCTACGTAAATATTATCCGTGATTCGACAGAAGTTAACATACATGAAAAAAGAAAACAAAATTGACAGAGATTTTACATCGAGGCTACCATACGTTCAACACACCATAGATGGACAGAACGGTGTTTACAGAAGGTGTCGTGTGTGGTTTGTGGCCTGTCCACAAGATGTCGGCTGTATGGTGTGGGGGTCAGGTCTGGGATTGCCTGGTGTCTGATAGGGGTGGGATGTGGGGTGTCCGGAAGGGGTCGGGTGTGTGGTGTCCGGAAGGGGTCGGGTGTGAGGTGTCCGAAAGTGGTCGGGTGTGGAGTGTCCGAAAGGAGTCGGGTGTGGGGTGTGGTGTGGGGTGTCCGGCAGGGGTGAGATGTGAGGTGTCCGGAAGAGGTCGGGTGTATGGTGTGGGGTGTCCGGAAGGGGTTGGGTGTGTAGTATTGGACGTTGGTATTGGGGTGTGGAGTATCCGGCCCTGGAAAGAAAAAGTGTCATTAAAAACGCCAGTTACTTTAGTCGTATCTTAGGAATATAGGAGAGGTGTCAAACGTTCACTTGAAATGTGGAAATGTCAGTTTAAAGGTGTTTTAAAAAGTCATTTTTAGTAATTTACACCACACAAACACAGTCAAGTTATATTAACAGTTGTGAGCAACACACGGAGATCAAGTACTCTCCCAAAAAGGATATGACACCAACATCCATCACTGAATATCTGAGTACAACACTAGAGAACTTTGCCCCTCTATGCCTACGAAGAGGTGGGCGGCAGAAATTGAGTTCGTGCAAGGCAAGAAGCACCTTGAAGACGACACCAGAAATGATCCCACGATTCCTCAATACTGTGATAACTGACAGGCCAATAAGACCTACAGTCTTATTTCCAGAAGGCTATGGCAGGTGAGGGTGAAATCAATCTTGGCAATGTAGAAAGAGTCTGTTCACTGGATTCAAAAACTTCTGCCATCTGATCCAAATACACGGGGCGCAACACGTCTGACGATGCGACTTTTTTTATCGCACAGTTATTGGTGTTACAAAATCGAAACAGGAGGCCTTTGCCATCAACGCCACCAAATAAGGAAGCATGTCCGAGCAGTTTCAAAGGCTTCCGCCTTTATGTTATCGGATGCCAATGGTGCCATCCTGTTGGAACATCTTCAAAAACTCTCGAGAGTAGACGAAGCCTATTTTACTGCAGTTTGGAGGCATTTGCTTTCCAGAATTACGAGGGTGAGGAAAGGTGTGTTCTTCCAGTACAAAATTCACAAATCTCTCATTAACATTTGTATAATCCTAATTAACGTGTGTGGCTTTGAACAGCCTCCCCCACCATACGTATATTTCTTATCTGACATCCGCCTGATCCGAACACGGCTCTAGTCGAAGCCAACTTTGATACGAAGGGTGACGCCATAGTCGCTGTTTGGAACATTATGGACAAGGACTTCAACGATATTGGGATACATATCTAGATCATTGTTGGCAAAGGTGTGCCATGATGACAGGGGATTTAGGTGAAACTTGCATCATTGTAATGCCTTCAAGTCAAGCTGTTTATTGTGCGGTTCAACACTTATCAATCGCCTCTTGTGCACAGAACATATCAAAGTATGGAGTATAACACGTGTACATGTAATACGTTGCACTAACGTTTTATCATGACAATACCAAACATGTTGTAAACGTCATCCGCATTATTTTCGGTCTTATAAAGACAATGTTTGAAACACATTCGTGGCTCTTCAGCCATGATGCTTTTGTATTGCTGGAATGTTCTAAAAAGCGACGTAACACACATTGACGTACACTCATGCGTGATAGCAAGAGTTCAGTTGTACCATCAAGAAACAAAAGAAGTGTTACCGCAGAGAAAAGAAAAACATACTGCAAGTCAAAGACATTTCTGATTGATCACCGTTGGAGCCAATTTTCTTTCCATTTTTTTTCAGTGACTATAGATATACTGCATCTAAATAATGATACATTTGTTAACTACCATGCAAACACAGAACCTTCACTTCGCTTGAACCTAAGGAAATTTCAGCCTAAGAATCCAATATACCTGGATGCAATGAGAGTTGTTAATAAATTAGATGCTTTACAAGAAGACCAACGGCAAACTAAAGTTCATACACCAAGTTTTCTGGGTGTTTCAATGAGGATGTGAGTTAAGACATCAGAACCAGTTACTGTTAAACGTTCAGTTTCAGTTGTCTTAAACTCAATAGCATGGTCAAGTGTTTGGACATTTTTAATTTCGCCATTTGTAACAACTGCAATGCAATGTTGATTTCCAAAACAGAAGTGCACGCATAGCTTTGAATTGCTACAAAATAACAAGTTCTCAGGTTCTTAAGAAACATTTGGCAAAATCAGAGTCCATTGTGATATTTCAAAACCGTGTGTTTTGTAATCAAACGGTGATGAGACAAGGTGTTTGCAAAAAGTTCAGCGTATCGTGATACTTCGATGGCAGCCATTATGAAACTATACAAAGTCAATAATGTTGTTATCCCGAAAAAAAGAACACGTGAATATATGATACGAGTCAAAGTAGGGAATTGTATAAGACATTACTGTTATCATTGATGCATCAAATCTGGTCATGTTCTCCACAATACATTTTGAAAGCTCCAGTGAGGCCGTAATGTTGTAATCTTGATCAAACAATTTCTGAGCAAGAGTCGTAAGACGCTTTCCAAAATATGGATAAAAGAAATGCTCGATTGTACCTCAAAGGTTGTGAAATCAAAAAGCTGGAGTTGAAAGGAACATTGTTTAACATAACAGAATGTTGCCAGACTTGTCAGACATTTTTGGTACTCTGAATTTGTATGCATAAATCTAATTATAAAACATACGAGGTGGTCTCACAGACTGTATTTCCTAGATCAGGTGTGTTTTTGAAATGGCCAGAGTAGGTTCGATAGGGATTAACGAAGGCTGCTGCATATTGAACGGTACCAATCGTCGGATCGGTGTTTACTATAGACGTTTTATCTAATATAGTTTATAGTTTCCAGTATATCATGATTTCAAAGTTAACGCTATGTGACAGCTTATGTATAAACACCGTCAGGGTGGCTGTATATACAATACAAAATATAGAACCGTAAAGAATTTTCATTATCACATTACACTAACACAATACTTAAATGTGTTAATGTCTCAAGCAATACTTTACGCATGGATTACATATAAGAATCTCCGTTCAACAATATTCGTTGAAGGTTTCATATTCGGATATTTGAAACGTAACTCTCGCACAATATCCGAGGAGCTTTCATGGTGTCATCAATGATTTTTAGTCATCCATTGATATAATTTTCACAACTTGATTTTGCCTGTACACCAAACGGAATACTGGGCATTCTTTAGCTCTGACGTTCTTTGTACTATTTCATCTTTGTCAAACTATACATTAAAAATTCCCATGTTTGAATCATTGCCAACTGGCTGTATGGAGTGTTTCATATTCGGATCTCACAAGCATCGTCTTAACAACTGCCATATTCGTATCCCTGTCCAATAATGCATTAAGAGTTTTCATATTCCGATCATTCAAATAGTCCCTGAAACAACATGGTAACGACTTTCATATTCCAATATCTGTCTACCACCACATGAAAGGTTTTCATATTGGGACCTCTGCCGAACAATACATTGTATCTCAAGTATTGTCCAAGTATCAAACAACCAAAATATTTAGGGATTTCATATTCAGATCTGCGTTAGACCCAATCTTCATTGGTGTTTCTTTTCAATCTTATCACATTGTTCTCTCTGTACATTAGTCAGTTGTGTGTAAGCACACCTGAATACATCTATTCATGCATTAGTTCTTTGTCCTGTTAAAGGTTAAGATATAGCCCTGAAACCTTGTCGCAAAGAACAAAGACGTTGTTATTAAGACAAGTTCCGTGTCTACATAAGATCATTTAATCAATGTTCAATCATGTTCAAAGTCAGAGACTATGCCTGCTCAAAGTCGTATCTCAGGAACAAGGGAGCAGGTTAATTGAGCCAGTAAACTGATCGCAGAATGAAGAACTACCCAACGAAGAACTAGCTGCTGTATATGAGAACAGGTGTCATAAGATAAACACAATACATTTAGACAACTCACAACTCATACAATTTACCCTTAGGGTAGTTATAGTTAAAACAACCCAACAATTTGTGTTTGTAGATTGGCACATGTGTATATATAACTATGTTGATCACGACATCAGCTTGAAACAGCTGACTCATCGAAACCTTTGACCAGGATGAATATACAGAATACCTTCAGCATCACCAGCAACAAAATTTCATCTACATTACAACATCAACACTCATTACAACATCGCCTACCGTGAAGTTCTCCATCAAGAACGACATCGTTGTCATCGCCATGGCGAAGAAGAATTCAAACACAACCCGATGTCCTAAACAGCGTTTAAATCCTCAAGCTGTTAAGCATCCATAATCACACAAGTCCGAGTTCAATTTTCAAGACCGTCTCTGCAATTTTCAAGACCGTCTCTGCAACTGATAATATGTCCCGCTATCACTGGACTTGCCATCAGATTGCTGCCTGGCTGTTAGTCATTCGGCTCTTGCACTGCCATCGTTGATTACCGCTACCTGGAAGAGAGAAGGTTGTGTGAGAAACACGAAGGACGAGTTGGGGCGAGTGTGTAGACGAGTGCCTGACGTTCTAACGAGAACCGCTCCGATGATCACTGAACACTGTCCGCGCTATGATACCTTTCCAAGGAGCTATGGGACTGTAGACTAGCTGCGCCGGCAAACTAATGAGATAGACGAACTAAGCTGTATGAAGTGAAGACACATATTGAACTACTTTATATTTTAACACCTGTGGAACATTACGATAAAATTTCTTTTTATGTTTTTATCCAACGTTTGAAACATAAATACTTTGACTTTTTGTAACTGATCCGTTTTATTATCTCAGTTTGTGATGTAAACGATCACGCATTAGGGGACTTACAGTGTGTTTTGTAGTATAATATTGCTTTATCCTCAACTTTCTTTTCTATATGCATCACGACATCTTCCGAAGATAATATTCTTACATTACATTTAAAGGTTAATGTTGAGCCCTAAGTTAAAAATAATAGAATACATATAGTTATATACTTTAACATGATCTTATACGGAAACATAAATGTTTATTACCGAAGAATTATGGAGACAGGATATAATATACATAAATTCGTAATAATAAACATTATATATATAGACATTTCAGATGTTAAGATATTTCGAGGAAAACAGACTGTGGCAAAAGGCTAAATTGTGATGAAAATGATATGACTTGAACGTTGAAAATCGGTGGTGACATCAGGTGTTGGCGAAAGGTATAAGCATGTTCTGGTCAACCTATAGCACCAGCCTCGCACGGTTAGCATACAGAAATAAGTGTTTGGTGCCCAGGCACCAGTTACAATTTGTATCCTATGATAACACACATTCATCTGATGAGTTTTTAACCATATAAGCATATGTGACACATGTGGTCTCACCGTAGGCAAGTGAGTTTGTTCAAACTTGCTTCTGTTCACCCAGCAGAGGGGCAGTGGGGTAGCCTAGTGGTTAAAGCGTTGACTCGTCACGCCGAAGACCCGGGTTCGAATCCCCACATGGGTACAATGTGTGAAGCCCATTTCTGGTGTCCCCCGCCGTGATATTGCTGGAATATTGCTAAAAGGGGCGTAAAACCAAACTCACTCAGCCAGTCAGTCACCCAGCA